AGTCGGTTAAGGTAGTCATACCGGTGTGGCAGGCTTAGCCAGACTGTTGGCAGCTGATTGGATGAAGAATGTGATGATTGACAGCTCTTGTTTGAGCTCCTTGAGTTTGTCTTCTTTCCCAGGATCGGTCCAGTCACTGCCCATCCTCCTCACAGCATCACCCAGGGCAGGGAAGGTCTCAGTATTCCACAGACCACTTGACAGAATGGTGTGCCTGAAATACAAGTACATGTACAGTCAAACCTGCACTACCGGTACTAACTCTGACTTGACTGTAGCCACTTTTTCTGGTCCTTTCTTGCTTCTTTTTCAGTGAAGACATCCCTATACCTTCATTGAGAGTGCAGGTACGTGAGAAGTATCAGTTGATTCTTTTCACTATGTTTGTTTTGTTTGCCTATACATATTCAGTGAGCACCAGAGAAGTCTGTCATAGTTGTGGCAGGGGAAAACTACTCTCTTCGGAGCTATTGAGTTCTTCTCTTCTGCCCAGCCGGAGCCTAGTGACAGCAAAGAGCTCCTGCAGCCCAGAAGAGCGACGGCTCACAATAGACTGGACACCAGGACGAAAGCTTAAAAAAGGCTGACACTCAGGTTTAAGGCTAGCACCAGTACTTAGTTTAGGGAATAGACTGCGTACCTGCTGAATTTCTGGTACAGGATGCCCTGTGGGTTTATGAAGGCTTGCTCCATCTGCATCAACTGGTCGTTGTACATCCGAGCAACCAGTGGGCTGTGAAACACATGCAATGAAGTACTGCATGTTAGAACACAGGGCAATGGGCTCTACCTTCAAGAGTTGGGAAAGAGCATGAAGACAAGCGCTTGACAGAAAACAGTGGAAAGCAGTGGTGACTCAGATTGTCAACAGATGTGAGCGGCAAGGAGTATTAGGATGATGACACATGGCATAGATAGGAAAGAACATATTGAAGATTGTCTTTGTGATACTTACTCTGTATTGTTTTCCAGAGAGGACAGTTCTTCTTCAAACATCACTGCCGCCTGGGAAAAGTTGGCCACTGCTGACTGCAGGGCGTCTGTAATGTGGAGTACATGTTCCACCGTATTTGGATACAGATTTTACATGACTCAAAAATGGGGTTCATGATGGGTTTACAGAGAGAGCTACACTGTCTACCTGGATTGTCTAGTTAGGCTGGTTATCATGGTTCTATCAAGCTTCTTAGACGCCCACAAATGATCAGACACCTACGCAGGTGCGCCCTCTGGGGGAATGCATAAAAATTCCAGCCATTTCACCATAAGGCCACAACGATTTAATTTCTTGCTTAACGGATTCTCCCGCTTCATTTTTTTCTGATTTAAAAAAAAAATCAGAATCAACTGCAAAATGCTTAATATTTTGCCCCGAACAGTTGAAAACAGTTCTTTTCTTCCTAGTTGTTACAGTTATTCCATCTTTCAATGCAGTGGTATCATTGAAGTTCAAAATTCATTGTTTAAATTTTGAACCAGCATGGTGTGTTGACTTCATGGCTCCTATCGTACCATTTTGGACCATAATAGGATGCCTAGGCCTGTTTTTATTTTTTTCATTATTTTTCTAGAAAAATCCGTTAACCATGAAATTGAATTGGTGTGGCCTAATTACCCATTTCTATGAGCTGCTATACCTATATTGTACTATAGTATTTAAGCAGGCAACTAGAATAAAGTGTTCTTCTGTCCCTTTTTCAATACATCTCGAAATCTTAAATAAGGATACCTAATCTTAGCCTGGGTGTGATCCTCCGTAGTTTCCACCGGCTCCCAAATGTGGCTGGCCAGGCTAACACTCGCAATCCACTCCCAAACCCCAGCTTACCTAGTGAGATGGCTGACTCTTCAAACTTGGTTCCGTACCCATCCACCAGCCAGTCATACATCCCCTGGACGGTGCCTGCGTACTCAGAGGCATCGATGGGCAGAATCCAGGACTCGGCCAGGGAGAGGGCCAGCTCCCCCCACAGCTGAGACATCAGGCGGTGGAACTTGAACTCCGGATCGATGTAGGTCTTCTGGAGGTGGAACGTCTCATAGGCCGTGTGGTAGAGGGGGAAGTTTGGGTACGTAATCTGAAAATGAGTTAGTATAAAGGGTCTTGAGCATGCAAATGAGGTACTTTTCATGCAAATCTTGGCCATGTATTTATAAAGGAACCAATTGGGCAATGGAGTTGGCAGGAGATTCAAAATTGACCTGTGTGGCATTAGGGTGTTTTGTGAACGTCCCATATCAACTGTTTTTTTTTACATGCTGGTGGAAAATTTAAATGGTGATAAAGTATGTCATTAACTATCATAATGATACATACACCATTATTGCTTTCCCATACAAAAGATTCATTTATCTAAAGCCAGCTCAGAAAAGAACAAGAAATTACTAACAGTAAGCAAGTCATGCAATTGTCTTCAATTACTTGCAAAGATATCAACCAAGGATTGAGCCTTGAGGGGTTCAAAAACTAATATTTTTCTCTACAACTTAACATCCAATTGTAGAGTGGAACTCGCTACCACAAAGTACAGTAGAGGCATCATCACTATGTAGCTTTAATCAATGTTTGCATTTGGAGGTGTAATACATGTATTAAGCCATCTGCCGCTGTCTTCAGATGTGACACACAATTATAGGTTCATTATGTACAGACTTGTTTATTTGCTTTTATGATCTGTTATGAGTTCACTTTGTTCACCATTATTGTATATAGCCTACCTTTATTTGTGTTCATATTTTGTTTGGATTCTGTTATCTGTACCTTTGATTCTCTTTTTATGTATTACTTATACTCAAACGGTGTCGTGTAAGCCCACACGGGCTGGGCGCGGGATAGCGCACGACACGAAAAGAATTCATTCATTCATTCATTCATTCATTCATTCATTCATTCATTCATTCATTCATTCATTCATTCATTCATTCATTCATTCATTCATTCATTCATTCATTCATTCATTCATTCATTCATTCATTCATTCATTCATTCATTCATTCATTCATTCATTCATTCATTCATTCATTCATTCATATAGACTGTACAGATTGCATCATTAGACTAAACTTTTGAGGTGCTGTACATCATTAGACGAACCCAGAAAGCAAAAAGAACAGAAAAATTAAACATAATTCCCTACGTGCTCACAATGTAACGATGAACCATTGCAATGTCCAGGATTGGGACACCGAGTCTTTTCACAAACGGCACATAGTCACTGGCACCAGCAGGGAGGTCAATTCTGTTGGGAAAAAGTGGCAGTACAATCAGGTACAGAAATGCTCATGTTCAAGTCCACACAAAATAAGCTAGGGTTGGCATTTTTCTAGGGTCGGTCCAGAAACAGCATTTTTCCTTAGGCCTCAGTCTACATATGCTAGGAAGTTAACTATCATAGTATAATTGCCATGCAGACATATTCTGGTTTGCAAGAAAGTTTTTCTATGTGTGAAAAGTAGGGCTATGTACAGGTACTGCGTACCGATACTGCAAGGAACAGGAGCGTGCAGCAAGGAACAGGAGCGTGGGATGGAACGTGTCCAACGGCGAGCCCTCCGCATCATCAGCCGAGGGGGCAGGCGTGATGTACCCGAACTACCTAAGGCCACACCGATTTAATTTTATGGATGACATCCGCGCGCGCATTGATTTTCGCCCGATCTCAAAAAAAAAAAAAAAAAGATCACGTCTTCCGAGGCTCTGGACTGGCTTTAGGCCTGGATAGTCCATGGTGGTGATAACT